TTTAAGAGGGTTCAAATTTCAAAATTTTCCTGTTGGACTTGGTATCTGTTCCATGCCTGTGGGCAAAATGCCTGTAATATTCCTAGAATTCTTGCAAACTGTACACATTACTGTACCATTAGGCTCCTCCCTGAGACGTCGCCAAAAAGTGAACCTTCTTGGCCAAACCCTGCCGCGGCCTCCGACCAAGATGTCGGGCCCGGTCTCGAAGGGCATTGTAGTAATTTGTACGGTCACCAAAAGTTGAATGAGGTGAGAGGTGAGTGCCCCACAGGAAGCCGGCATCTACAGTCTGTTAGGAAGGATCATGTACCTCATCATGTAATGCAATTAAGTAACAACAGTGTAACACTACACCCCCATGCAGGCCCTCGTGTATGGTTGAACCCTAGTTGAACCCCGTAGTCAAAAGTAGTCCGGGCACAAAGTAGTGCGGCGTAGTTCTTGAGAAAGTAGCCTGATTATGAATGGCTTGGCGTGCCCCGCAGTGTTTTTATAGTAAACAAACAGAGGAAGCAGCTGGCCACGTTATAAATTCACTCTCCACCGTCCGCCGACTACTCTTTTTGTCTTGCACTTGAGCGTAGACCGTGGCCCTGAGAGAGATCCGCCGGTACCAGAAGTCGACGGAGTTGCTCATCCGCAAGCTGCCCTTCCAGCGCCTGGTGCGAGAGATCGCCCAAGACTTCAAGACCGACCTGCGCTTCCAGAGCTCGGCGGTCATGGCCCTGCAGGAAGCCAGCGAGGCCTATCTGGTGGGTCTCTTCGAGGACACCAACCTGTGCGCCATCCACGCCAAGCGTGTGACCATCATGCCCAAGGACATTCAGCTCGCCCGTCGCATCCGTGGGGAGCGTGCGTAAGGAGGATCCGAACAAGATCGACAACCCCGGCCCTTTTCAGGGCCACTCACCTATCCCAAAAAGATCTATATCGTTCACGTTTCTTCAAACAACAGACAACACCAGATAGAAATAAAACTACACCATTGCACTTCTGCACTCACCATCTCATGCTCATGCACATGTAAACCAAAACAACAAACCTAGGAACTACTAACGCAGACAAACCACCCGCCAACC